GTAATCGGTAGCTCTAGTCTATACTATACCTGAATGCTTTTTATCGCCAGCTATAATACAACAAATTATACATATAAGTTAATGTTTGCTAACTTTAAATTGTCATAATAGTATTTAAAACAATACAAATTAAACGAGTTTAAATAGGAATTATGTTTTATACGATTTTTTAGTACTTTAGTGCAGCTTTTACATAAAAAAATTAAACCCCTATTGAAATTTATAGACTTATCTGGTCTAGTATAACTTTTATCTCTATAATGTTTCAAAACATTTTTAAATATCTAAAAGTATACTATATGCTTTTTAAAATTTCCATATTTCAATTTTTTTTTAGAAAATATAGTTTTAACAATAGATATAGAAAAATATGTGGAATTCCAATTAACTAATACTATTATGAAATAGTTTATAAGATATGTATGACAAACCATTTTTCGTCCGACTGTCTCTGAGAAAGATTTTTTATTTTTATGGATTGCTTTTGTATTTACACATTATAGCACTCGAAGAAAGATAAAGAATGATTTCTATTCTATTACACTATACAGGGTGTACCTATTTGGACATATACCAGTTTATTATCTAAACCAACATGTAATGCAAATTAAATTAATGTTTTGCTAACTTTAAGTGGTTGTAAAAAACCTTTAATTATCTGTTGTATGATACTGTTTTCACAATGTAGAATAACATATGTTCTTCTAATGAATTAAATTTATTTTCAAATACATCTTGAAATATATGTGACAAGCAATTTGATAATTATTAATATTTCTCGTCTTAACTTTAGGTAGTCAAATTTTCATTATTCGACAATAATTGTAGTCAGGACCAATACTGGATGATCGTTTAGAAGTATAAACAATTTCAAACTATAGTATGCATATATTTAAAGATATATTTGAAAATAAGTTAATTATTTAGATATACACATTCTACTCTACATTGTATAAAAAAACGTATAATTACCCTGTTTCCTTTGTAACTCCGCCATTTCTTTTAGTGTGAGTATTTTTGGGAGATCACCTTTTCATTATAAAATAAATAAATCATTATTTTTACCAAATATTTTGCAAACATATGAAATTTATACAGATAATTCATTATGGATAAGACCCTTTTTTCTAAAATAATTCTAATTTTTAGTTTGTCATTTTAAAAACTTGTACAATTACTAAAATTAGAAGCAAATGTGTCAAAAAATATAGAAATATATAACATACATTATTTAACAAATGTTTATCAAACTATATAACAACAGTACTATTAAAGTATGACGCAAATGGCAATGTAATTTGGGAAATAATAGAACGGTTATACCTCTAAAAAAACACGTGAGCGGATAAAATATTTGAATAGCAATAAACAATTTTGGTTAGCGTTGCATGAAACCATTTTCCAATATTTCAAATATTCATGATATTTTTCGAAAACAATGGGTAGAATATATTAAATATATTATTATTATTTCTAGTTTGACTGTGTTATTAAAAATTTGGTCCTACTAAAAGTATAAAATTATAAACTCAATTTGCTGACTTAACTCGAATAAAAATCAATTATTTTACAAAAGAAACTAATTTTTAACATTTTATTTTTGTTCAAAATACTATAAAAAATGATTAAAAAAAAGATTAAATGAAAAAACTAAATATAGGATCATTAAATTATATAAAAAGGTTCAAAATAAACGAACAAAAATTGATTTACTGAAGAAAAATATTGATTTTGTCGGAACAGACACACAAAGTGAGTATCAAAAAATTCCGGGGAGGTGTGCTCCATAAGTTAATTCGTATTTGGCATTTTGGCCCTTGTAATAGTATAATATCACGTGAAATTACCCGGCTTCTTTTGTGACTCCATCGAATTGTTTTCACCTAACCAACAAAAAAAATGTACTGTTTACTAGCAAAAAAATGACTTCATTTTTTATAGCAGTATAATAGTTGATTAGATGTCCTTTTTTACACGTATTAATATTTTGCTGGCTGTAGCTTTTCATTATAAAATAAATAAATCATTTTTTTAATCAAATATTTTGTTTACTTTTGGTACCGTGTAAATACTCCAAAAACCAACCAAAGAATGTAATCTGTAATGGTACTGTTATCTACTTTTAGGTGTATATTAATTATTACTACACGGTCATATTATACAATGGATGTACAAGTTAAATAGAAAACTTGTATACAATTGCATGTAAAATGTATACAATTATATCATTTATAAACATACTTGGATATGGTCGACCCTGTGTGACTAAACAAAAAAAATAAAATAAGGTTTCCATATAAACTCATACTCGTTTACATAATTTTGAAATAAAAATAATTTCTCCATGGCGGTAACTCCTTTCAACATAATTTGTCATTTAATTAGAATTTAGAAGCCATAAAAATATAGTAATTATAGTATTGAACCTAAGAATGTATTGTAAACAAAAAATACAAATAAGAATTACCCATTATAATGAAAACTATTATAAAAATAGTAGATTTCTGCATAATGTTTTAATTAACTTTTGTTATTCTGAAACACACTTCTACGATAGACGATGAAAACTACAATACATAATATAAAAATGTACAGAAAAAAATATAAATGAACATAATATATATTATTTAGCAAGTTTATTCAGACAATATAGGAACAGTTATATTAAAGTATGACGCAAAAGGCAATGTTATTTGTAAAAAAACAAAACGATACACCTGTAAGAAAAAACCTGTAAGAAGGAGTAAACACATTACGTTAGTAATAAACAATTTCGGTAAAAAATAAAATGCCTAATATTTAAAATATTCCAAAGAAATATATAAATATCGCAAGTATTTATCATAATTGTTTTATAAAACTGCTTGCATCTAATGTCAAACTGTCATTTAGGAGTAACTAAGAACTGTAGGTAGAATAAAACTGAGAAGAAATCGTGAAACAAGGATACTAAAATCATTCACATTAATCTCGACAAAACCAGCAACAAAAATATTAACCTAACAATTACCCAATTTTATATTACATAAACAAAATAAATATTCTATTTAAATCACCCTGATTCCCATATTTTGTTTAATATAAGTAATTATTTTATACAATTTTACCAATTTGAATCATATTCAGCTAAAATACAGTATTTTCAATAAGACCCATACAACTACCTACAATGAGCACTTTATCAAATTTTAATATACAAAAGACGAATATACAAAAACAAAACAATGTACGCTTTATACAATATTTAATACAAATTATATTTAAATATTCTTTTCTACATTTCCTTACTTTAATATTATGCAATAAAACAATTTAACAATTATTTTTCACATATATTTTTATTTTAATAATGGTATTTGATACAACAAAAGAGATTTATTTTTATTGTAAAAACTTCTCAATATTTATCAATTCAACTCATATTAGACATAATATATATCAGACACATTTATATAACTTACATTACAGCTTAAACCATAATATTTACAAATTAGCCTTTGTACATTATTTCAGTATTATTTCCTGTGTATTACTATAAATCATCAGTATTTTATGTCAAGCCGCAAACCATAATCTCTTTCATATTGGACCAAGTAAGAATTGGAGCCAACTTCTTTCAACCTCATAATATACAATCTGGAGTCCCCCAAGGCTCGGTTCTGGTCCTACCTTGTTAACATTCACTGCTACGACATACCAATCCCTCCAAACTCCCAGCTGGCAATGTTTGCGGATGACGCAACAGTAATAACCTAAAGCAACTCCATAGAATCTTCAATCCGAAATCTTCAAACAGCTCTAAACACAGTGACCAACTTTTTATAACAATTTTCTTTTAAACAATTGTTGTTTCACTTGACTTGTAATAATATTAGTAACTTTTGGAGAACTTGGGCATTTTTGGTGTGTATTATTTTATTTTTCATAATAGTAGAAATTACTCAGGGAATTTACTCTCTATTACAAAATATAGATTTATTCTTCACCCCTAAAGAGATATGCAGTATTCACAAGTATCTAATTGTTGGGAAAATTTTTTTTTGATTTCAAAGTTTTTCAAATATTTGACTGACCTCATGTAGTTGAGAGTATAAGGCAAAGATGAAGAAGATTATTTTTTAAATATTGACTATTAAAATTATTAATTTTACTTTATTTATTAATATAAGTTATTAATTTGTCTGCACTGGTCTGTGTCAGTCCTAAGTATCCTTCATATTTTTGAAATTATTGTTTTCTAATAATTAGTCTATTACCTTTACTTTTTTTTATTTTTAAGAAGATACTGTATTTTTGAAACCAGTTTACTAAGAAATATGCAGACTTTCCATTGTACTGTGTGCATGCTGCGTTTTTTTTCAAGATCATATTACGTACTGTGATTATACACCAAATCAAGTGTCAAAGGATAACATGCCACATTCAAAGCGCCTTAACCAATAACAGTTATTATATTTTAATTTAATCCGTCGTACCTGTTATCTAGACAAACCTCTTTGAGATTATGCAAAATGTTGATACAGGTTATAACGATATAATATATATCGTTAATATAATAAATGTTATTCAAACTATATAGCAAAGGTGTTATTAATATATGTGTTAGTAAATGTCATTGTTTTTGGAAAATAACAGAACGTTCATGTATCTAAAAAAACACATGAGCGGATAAAAACATTTCGTTAGCAATAAACAATTTTGGTTAGCGTTGCATAAAATTATTTTGAATATTTTCAGATTTGTAAGCTTTATGTAAACTGTATTAGTTAATTACTATTTTATAATTGAAGTTGCGTGTATCGATTCATAAACTTTTATATTTTTGACGAACCTTGGAGCTTTAATCATATAATTACACTTCAAACCGAGTGTTATACCGACGGTACGACCGCGTTACCCCTTAAGTTTTCTAGAATTTTTCATTCACACCATATCAATTATTAAAAAATAATATGCCACATTCAAAGCGCCTCATCCAATCACAATAATTATATTTTAATTTAATCCATTGATTTATCTAGACAATCTTCTTTAAGATTATGCAAAATGTTGTTACAGGCTATAACAATAGAAAAAATATTTACACATTGTACTTAAACAAAGCTACAATAATAAAATCGGGTGAAAATATAGTAACCAAGTTTGAAAACTTGCACTAAAGGAAAACAATACACTTTAAATTTGCCAGATAGATGAAGTTTAATATGAATCAATGAAATTTATGTTTTTTGTTTAGTAATAGTTTACACAATTTAATTTTCTACATTTATATTTATTTACATCTTTATTTTTAATGGTATATTTCTGCAAAATTGGATTGTTGTCATGGGATTCTTTCTATTAAAAAAACAAAAATTTTTATTAATTCATAGCTTAAATAGAATAAGTTTGTATAACGTTACCTATGTTACAAAAAAACAATGTAAACTAATTGTGTTTTGTATTTACAAAAAACCTCTAAGGAATGATATTTTATAGTATAAAACTAAATATATATATATATATATATATAAGTATATGTAACAATCTATATAACGGTTAGGTTAGTTTACCTGATAAATGTTTAGTACAATGGTGACAAGGATTCGTGGTGACACGCGTCGTTGCTGGCAACTGGTGTAATATACAATATCGAGCTTTCTCAAATTCTAAACACGATACAAAAACGTTATTATATTAAATTAATATTATATATGAAAATGAATAACAAAATATAATATTTTAATATATAATGACAATAATAATAATATAATTAAAACGGTAATATTAGAGGACAAGTTTCATTACAGCGGACAGCGAGGTAACGTTTCAACGACGTTATCAAGACGTGGTCGAGGAATTCCCTTAACTTAACCGAAACGTAAATAAGAGATGCTCCGAAACGCAATCGTCTTTATAGGGCTAACACAACTGCGTTTTCGAATTTCAATCATAACACACGCATGGATTGTGTAAATTAAATCGAAGTTGCATAACTATGTTAACCTTTATGCCTCGGTCCATAACTTATTGCTGGTAATATCACACTAAACCAGTTCAAAGTAAAGGTCTGTCATAATTTTGAAACAAAGTTCTGTTAAGAGCTGTTAATTTTTTGTCAAGTTCGTTGTGTTTTAAAAAAATATAATACAGCATGATTAAATTGTTTCAAAAAAAATCGAACATTCCAAAACAAATGAACAAGAGTTTTAGGACGTCCAAGAAAAATTAGCTGTTATCGTCAATATTTTTGGTACCATAGTTTAATTGCACAAACAAAATTCAATGAAACAAATATATATATTTTTTGTAAAAACATACCATCTTTTAATAAAATCTCACTGCCTAAAAAACAAAAAAATATTTCGTATTTATTAGAGAAATTTCAAAAGTGAATCATCAAATTAATAACGATTACTTTTTTGATTTTAAAAAAAAATTCTCTTTTAAAATTAAGTAATGACTCTACCTATAAAACATGTACAAAGTCTATTTGATAGTTTTGTCGGAGGAAGCTCTAAAAAACAAAAAAACATTTTTTTACAATAAAACGTTTTATTTAACAATAAAACGTTTTTAATAGTGATTTAGTAAAAAAATTATAGCTTTAAAGATAACATTTTTTATACGATTATGAAACTGTTAAGAGGGATACTATACTAGTTCCAGTAGATAAATATTAACACATCTCATGTGTCATGTATTGCTGGTGGTTTGAACTTATAGTGTTAGAAAAAGGGTTCGACGAAAACCACGGAATTAAAAGAAGGACAATGATTGAAAAAGAAATAACTTAACTGTATAAAGAAAATTAAGAATTACATTTACATAATTACATCTTTAAAACATAAGTAACTATTACCTTTGGAAGAGCTCGGAGCGTCAGTGGTTTCTGTTGTCTTAGGCATTCCACATCCCAAGGATTCGCGAAATCCGCAAGCTTTTAAGCAAATAAAGTAATAGGTATTTTAAAATATAACGAAGATTATAAACCAAATTAATTAGTGCTCAATTTTAAATGAACACAAAATGATAAAATTCTAATAGAAGTCGCACAACTATGCTAACCTTTATGCCTAGGTACATAATTTGTTGAAAGTAACTTAACACTAAACTAGTTTAAAATAAATGTGGGTCACATTTTCGAAACAGGGTTTATTAAAAGCTGTTAATTAATTGTCAAGTTCGAAATACTGCACAATGTACATGAACATAAAATATGTGTTTTATAGTAATATCATTTAAATTAAAGTATATAAAAAATGGGTACGACGTTATCAAGACGCGGTCAAGGAATTTCCTTGGAAGAAAATTATAAATTCCATTATATAAAAAAGGGACGTATGCTAATTCGACTAACGCAATCGTCTATACAGCGCAAACGGAAACTGTGTTTTTGAATTTCAATCAAGTTCAAAATATAGTGAACCGAATTGAATACTAAACGAAGCTATTTTATGTTTTAAGACTATACAAGTGAATCACCAAATTAATAACGTTTAATTTTTTTATTTAAAATAATTATTTTTAAAACATAGTTAACTATTACCTTTGGAAGAGCTCGAAACTTCGGTTGTTTCTGTTGTCTTAGGCGTTCCACATCCAAAGATTTCGACCAATCCGCTAGCTTTTAAGCAAATAAAGTATTAGGTATTTTAAAATATAACGAAGATTACCAAATTAATTAGTGCTCATTTTTAAATGATGAAATCTAATCGAAATAGCACAACTATGCTAACCTTTATGCCTAGGTATATAACTTGATGAAAATAATATCACACTAAATTAGTTTAAAGTAAAAGTGGGTCACATTTTCGAAACAGGGTTTATTAAAAGCTGTTAATTGATTGTCAAGTTTGAAATATTGCACAATGTACATGAACATAAAATATGTGTTTTATTATAATATAATAAATTACAATATATTTTACAACATGATTAATTTGTTTCAAAGATATTCGATTATAGAACTATTAATAATCGAACATTTCAAAATAAATGAACAACAGATTTAAGATGTCCAAGATAAATTAGCTTTCTTCGTCATTATTGTTGGTACCATAGTTCAATTGTGCAAACAAAATTAAATGAAACAAAGTAATAAGTGACGAACAACATACCATTTCTTACTAAACTCCATCCTAACAAACAAAATTACATTTTTTATATATTTGAGAATTTTTAATAATAAAACATTTTTAATAGTGAATATGTAAGAAACTAATAGCTTTAAATATAAATTGTTTTACACGATTTTAAAAGTGTTAAGAGGGATACTATAATTATTCCAGTAAATAAATATTAACACATCTCATGTACGAGTATTACTGGTGGTTTGAACTTATAGTGTTAGGAAAAGGGTTCACACTAGGTAACTCTACAGTCTATACTGTGACCGAAGATTCTACACGTGTATTGTGTAGTACACATGTAGGACAAGGTTCGTGTAGTTCGAATTGACGTTTAGAAGTTCGTGTAAATAATACACTTGTAGGACCCTAGATTCCACTAACTTGACCCAATGGCTATAATACTATATCTTAGTCACAACCATTAATTAAAGAGTAGTATTACGTAAATAAGAGGTCTTATTAAAACTTACAGTTTTAAGAATACTTGTAGTTGTACTTATAATTACACGAACTTCTACACGTCAATTCGAACCACACAAGTTACATGTGTAATCGGTAGCTCTAGTCTATACTATACCTGAATGCTTTTTATCGCCAGCTATAATACAACAAATTATACATATAAGTTAATGTTTGCTAACTTTAAATTGTCATAATAGTATTTAAAACAATACAAATTAAACGAGTTTAAATAGGAATTATGTTTTATACGATTTTTTAGTACTTTAGTGCAGCTTTTACATAAAAAAATTAAACCCCTATTGAAATTTATAGACTTATCTGGTCTAGTATAACTTTTATCTCTATAATGTTTCAAAACATTTTTAAATATTACTTTTTAAATATCTAAAAGTATATTATATGCTTTTTAAAATTTCCATATTTCAATTTTTTTTTAGAAAATATATTTTTAACAATAGATATAGAAAAATATGTGGAATTCCAATTAACTAATATTATTATGAAATAGTTTATAAGATATGTATGACAAACCATTTTTCGTTCGACTGTCTCTGAGAAAAATTTTTAATTTTTATGGATTGCTTTTGTATTTACACATTATAGCACTCGAAGAAAGATAAAGACTGATTTCTATTATATTACACTATACAGGGTGTACCTATTTGGACATATACCAGTCTATTATCTAAACCAACATGTAATGCAAATTAAATTAATGTTTTGCTAACTTTATGTGATTGTAAAAAACCTTTAATTATCTGTTGTATGATACTGTTTTCACAATGTAGAATAACATATGTTCTTCTAATGAATTAAATTTATTTTCAAATACATCTTGAAATATATGTGACAAGCAATTTGATAATTATTAATATTTCTCGTCTAAACTTTAGGTAAACGATTTGTACTTTATTGCGACAATAATTGTAGTCAGGGCTAATACTGGATGATCGTTTAGAAGTATAAACAATTTCAAACTATAGTATGCATATATTTAAAGATATATTTGAAAATAAGTTAATTATTTAGATATACACATTCTACTCTACATTGTATAAAAAAACGTATAATTACCCGGTTTCCTTTGTAACTCCGCCATTTCTTTTAGTGTGAGTATTTTTGGGAGATCATCTTTTCATTATAAAATAAATAAATCATTATTTTTACCAAATATTTTGCAAACATATGAAAATTATACAGATAATTCATTATGGATAAGACCCTTTTTTCTAAAATAATTCTAATTTTTAGTTTGTCATTTTAAAAACTTGTACAATTACTAAAATTAGAAGGAAATGTGTCAAAAAGTATAGAAATATATAACATACATTATTTAACAAATATTTATCAAACTATATAACAACAGTACTATTAAAGTATGACGCAAATGGCAATGTTATTTGGGAAATAATAGAACGGTTATATCTCTAAAAAAACACGTGAGCGGATAAAATATTTGAATAGCAATAAACAATTTTGGTTAGCGTTGCATGAAACCATTTTCCAATATTTCAAATATTCCTGATATTTTTCGAAAACAATAGGTAGAATATATTTAATATATTATTATTATTTCTAGTTTGACTGTGTTATTAAAAATTTGGTCCTACTAAAAGTATAAAATTATAAACTCAATTGGCTGACTTAACTCGGATAAAAATCAATTATTTTACAAAAGAAACTAATTTTTAACATTTTTTTTTTGTTCAAAATACTATAAAAAATGATTAAAAAAAAGATTAAAGAAAAAAACTAAAAATATGATCATTTTATTATATAAAAAGGTTCAAAATAAACGAACAAAAATTGATTTACTGATTCCTTTCGTCGGAACAGACACATAAAGTGAGTATCAAAAAATTTCGGGGAGGTGTGCTCCATAAGTTAATTCGTATTTGGTATTTTGGCCCTTGTAATAGTATAATACCACGTGAAATTACCCGGCTTCTTTTGTGACTCCATCGAATTGTTTTCACCTAACCAACAAAAAAAATGTACTGTTTACTAGCAAAAAAATGACTTCATTTTTTATAGCAGTATAATAGTTGATTAGATTTCCTTTTTTACACGTATTAATATTTTGCTGGCTGTAGCTTTTCATTATAAAATAAATAAATCATTTTTTTAATCAAATATTTTGTTTACTTTTGGTACCGTGTAAATACTCCAAAAACCAACCAAAGAATGTAATCTGTAATGGTACTGTTATCTACTTTTAGGTGTATATTAATTATTACTACACGGTCATATTATACAATGGATGTACAAGTTAAATAGAAAACTTGTATACAATTGCATGTAAAGTGTATAGAATTATATCATTTATAAACATACTTGGATATGGTCGACCCTGTGTGACTAAACAAAAAAAATAAAATAAGGTTTCCATATAAACTCATACTCGTTTACATAATTTTGAAATAAAAATAATTTCTCCATGGCGGTAACTCCTTTCAACATAATTTGTCATTTAATTAGAATTTATAAGCCATAAAATTATAGTTATTATAGTATTGAACCTAAGAATGTATTGTAAACAAAAAATACAAATAAGAATTACCCATTATAATGAAAACTATTATAAAAATAGTAGATTTCTGCATAATGTTTTAATTAACTTTTGTTATTCTGAAACACACTTCTACGATAGACGATGAAAACTACAATACACAATATAAAAATGTACAGAAAAAAATATAAATGAACATAATATATATTATTTAGTTAGTTTATTCATACAATATAACAGGAACAGTTATATTAAAGTATGACGCAAAAGGCAATGTTTTTTGTAAAAAAACAAAACGATACACCTGTAAGAAAAAACCTGTAAGAAGGAGTAAACATTACGTTAGTAATAAACAATTTCGGTAAAAAATAAAATGCCTAATATTTAAAATATTCCAAAGAAATATATAAATATCGCAAGTATTTACCATAATTGTTTTATAAATTTGCTTGCATCTAATGTCAAACTGTCATTTGAGAGTAACTAAGAACTGTAGGTAGAATAAAACTGAGAAGAAATCGTGATACAAGGATACTTAAATCATTCACATTAATCTCGACAAAACCAGCAACAAAAATATTAACCTAACAATTACCCAATTTTATATTACATAAACAAAATAAATATTCTATTTAAATCACCCTGATTCCCATATTTTGTTTAATATAAGTAATTATTTTATACAATTTTACCAATTTGAATCATATTCAGCTAAAATACAGTATTTTCAATTAGACCCATACAACTACCTACAATGAGTCACTTTTTCAAATTTTAATATACAAAAGACGAATATACAAAAACAAAACAATGTACGCTTTATACAATATTTAATACAAATTATATTTCAATATTCTTTTCTACATTTTCTTACTTTAATATTATGCAATAAAACAATTTAACAATTATTTTTCACACATATTTTTATTTTAATAATAGTATTTGATACAACAAGAGAGATTTATTTTTATTGTAAAAACTTCTCAATATTTATCAAAACTTTTCAACTCATATTAGACATAATATATATCAGACACATTTATATAACATACATTACAGCTTAAACCATAATATTTACAAATTAGCCTTTGTACATTATTGCAGTATTATTTCCTGTGTATTACTATAAATCATCAGTATTTTATGTCAAGCCGCAAACCATAATCTCTTTCATATTGGACCAAGTAAGAATTGGACCCACCTTTTTTCAACCTCATAATATACAATCTGGAGTCCCCCAAGGCTCGGTTCTAGTCCTACCTTGTTAACATTCACTGCTACGACATACCAATCCCTCCAAACTCCCAGCTGGCGAGGTTTGCGGATGACACAACAGTAATAACCCAAAGCAACTTCCTAGAATCTTCAATCCAAAATTTTCAAACAGCTCTAAATACAGCGACCAACTGGTTCAAAACGTGGAAACTAAACCTGAATCCAACAAAAAGCGCAGCAAAAATATTTTCCCTTAAACGATACAAAGATCCCCAACCCATTCACATTGATAATCAACCAATACAATGG